CAGACGACCCCCAGTTAGTGGGATGGCACAGGTGCTGTAGCAATGGGCCCAAACATAACCACAACTGTGAGGACGGCAAAGGAGCAGGCAGTGTGCCCTTCTGTTATCCACAGGGCCGCTGCCAGTCAGAGCCTTCTGGAAGATACCGCACATCATTTTGGGGCAGATCCCCTTCTAGAATTTGTGCCTACAGTTAAGTGTACAAGAAAACAGTATAAGAACACTCATTATCATGCTGCTTCTCAGAGAGGAAAACAGAAGCGATCTAAATGTCCATCGGCAGGAAGTGGTTGCCCTCTTCTGAGAGATGATCATCAGCAGGGGACCCCTTGTTGGAACGTTAACTATGCCACAGGGTTCAAAGTGCAGGCACAGTCAGAGCCTTTCCTAGCTGCGTTTCTGGGCCACTGCCAAGAGATGGCGAGAGGCAGGCAATCCCTCAAAAGGGAGCTTATCTTGGTCTCTGCTTTCCTCTTAAAACCTCACTTTCTCTCCTTGGCCCTAACTAGGCCCTGGGAGTGGCCTTGCCTGTGTGAGAACAAACCCCTTCTGTATTTCCTTCATTTGAGTCCACACTGGGAAATCTGAAAAATACAAGAAGCGTGCATGGGAAGGCATGGTAGCTGCAAAGACAAGCCTCACTGGGGAAGTGTGGACTGTCGGCTGAGATCCTAGATGTAAAAAGAGCAACAGCAACAGTGCAGCACAAAACGAAGGGCAGACAGCATAATGTCAGCAGTCACACCAGGGACAAAAGCAAAGCAAAGCAACGGCACTAAAAGCTCACTAACTGTTTTCCACAACAATTACATTTACCCCTGTTCAATGTCAGTAAATGATTGGGTAGAAGGACGATGCTAGTTTTACTAGCATTCCATAACATAGGGAAAAATATTATTTTAAAAACCATGGCTGCTAGACAATGGAGTCACAGGCCCCCAAACTTCACACATACTATGTAGATATAAAGGAGCCTCAGTAGCACAATGAGCACTGAGCTGGTCAGCACAAGATCAGGGGTTCAAATCCAAGAGCTACTCCACAGGAAAAAGAGGAGGCTATCACAAAAATTTACATCCTCAGAAACCCTAAGAAGCACTTCTGTTTCATGCAGCTGTAATGGACCAGAATCAACTTAGTGGCGGGGCTTTGGTTTGGGTGTATAGGTAAGATTGTACCAGTAATATTCACAAGTATAGAGTAAACAGAAAAAGGATCAGAAGAATTCATTTTTATTATCTTATTTATAGTACCTTTCAATTTTATCATAAGGAACATATAGTACTTTTATGATCAGAAATAAAGAGTAATGAAAGTTGTTATTCATAGAAACAATAAAACATGACACTGCTTTGGACTGGATATGCTATGTGCTCTGGAAGTGGTATTTTGATTGCATATAATGGAATCCTGAGCCTAGCTTATCCATAAAAACACCTTACTGTCATCGAATCAATTCCAACTCCCTATAGAACAGGATAGATGGGTTTTCGAGACTGAAACTCCTTCAGATAGTAAAAAGCCCCATCTTTCTCCAGAGGAGTGGCTGGTAGTTTTGAACTGCTGCCCTTGCAGTTAGCAGCCCAATACATAACTACTACACTACCAAAGCCCTCAGTTTCTATCCAGTTAGTTAAATGAAATTCAGGATTCTCCAGCCCAGGATTCTGTCCCTCCTGTTCCTATCCCCAATTTCCCACCTAGGTCACTAACTTGGGGGAGGGGGAGAAGCCCAGCAGTTCAGCAGCAGCACAGGGTTTTATAACTTGCTTGTTTGAGGTTTGTCTTGCATGGACTCCTGCAAGCTCATGATTAACTTTAAGTGATTAACTCATCTCAGCCTCCTGATAACCCCTGGCAAGGCAACCCCTGTTCCCTCCTTCTGTTCAAGTGAGAAATCCCAGGCCTCTGACAACAGACAAAAAGAGATAGAGATAAGGAGAAATCTGGCTATCTCTCGGGTCCATTAGTCTTATCTCCATAAGAGGCTCCCATCTGGGCCTCCCAGCAGCCCCATAAGAACCTCTGCCCCCCACCCCATAAGAGGGCAGTGTGGCCCAGCCCAACTCCAGGTCTTAGGTTTGCACATTCCACCCGGGGCCCCCAGGGAGGCAGAAAGCCTCACAGGCTGGTCAGTGAAGGGCTGGGAGCTCCCTGGCTGGAGCAGGAGATAGTGCCACTGCTCTTTGGACCAGAAACACTGGCCTAGTGCTGGGACCTCTTCCCAAACACGTCTGGCAGGAGGAGAGGAGACCGGGCAAACTGTTATTAGCACAGATGTTTCTTTCTTCCTGTAGGTTCTACTATAAATGCAAATTACTTCAATAGAGAATAATGTGTTCATGGTTGAGTTCACAGTATATCAGGATGGGGTTTTAATCCATTTTAAATTACTCGTTTACCTAGTGCACAATATTAAAAAAAGGTACTATCCTAAATTTACAGCAAAGAGGAACTAAGTATCACAGTCCCCCAAGGAGCAACATTTACATTTCAGCAAGGAGTTAGACTTGAACTGTTTATCAAGCTCATTACAATGGCAATAGGTAGCCTTGCCCCGGCTTCTCCTGGAATCCAAAGCAAAGACATACTTACGTCTGCCCACACTTTCCAGGCTTCTCTGGCTTTCTTTACCGTTTCTTCATAGTCAGCCACACTGGCCTAAGAGTTTGGTAGAGGGGGTGGGGAGCAGGGGGAGAGAGAGAGAAGTGATGATCACAGGACACGAGTACTTTGGGGAAGAGAAATGGGATGACCTCTGGGTATTCCTAAGATTTCTGGTTTAGATTCATTTCCTCAGCCTGTGCTTCCGAAACCTCTCTAGAGCGAGCTAGGCTGGAATCCAACTGAAATCCCATTTCCCAAAACATAGTCCATGGATTTATCACAGGGTGCATTGGAAATGCAGAATCTCAGCCCCCACCCAGATTTATGGAATCAGAAACTTCACGAGCCTCAATCCTTCCAATGACTAATCTGTACCTTTAAAGCTTGTGAGGGACTGCCTTAAAAAGAACTATCCACCCAAAAATGTCTTTTCTCACAGACATTCCATATGGAGGGAAAAAAAGTATGCCTTTGCCCTTGTACTTGCGTGCCCTTGATCCACTTACGTACTATTGGCCTCTGCCTCCATAGAAAGCTTTCACAATGCTGAAGGCAGTTTGAATTAACTTAAAAATATATTAAATTTTTTCAGAGCCACTCACCTGTCGGACTTTTGCAATTGGCTCGTTGTTAGCAGGACAATAGGTTGTCACCACCTTAAAAGAAAAAGATGATTAGCCTACATAAAGTCCATAAACTCAAAACCAAACGCACTGCCCTCAAGGCAATTCTGACTCGTAGGTTAGAAGAGACCCTGTGAGTTTCCAAGACCATACTGTTTACCGGAGTAGAAAGCCCCATCTTTCTCCTGGAAAGTCTAGTGGTTTTGAACTGCAGACCTTATGGATTGTAGCCCAGTAACCATTATGCCACCAGGGCTCCTTATATGTTCCGAACTACCTTTCATCAAAGTACAACTTTGTCCGTAGGTATCGAGTGTATAAACAAAGACTCCGTGTAATCAGCTCTTCTGTCCTCTTTTTCAATTAACAAGAAGCCAAATTGAAGTTTTACTTATTTTCCTTCCCTTTCTCTGTCTAACCTCTTCTGATCTCACTTTAAAAAAAAACAACCCTGACTGCCATCAAGTTAATTCTGACTTACAGCAACCCTGTAGGACAGAGTAGAACTGCCTCTGTGGGTTTCAGAGACTGAACTCTACAGAGAAGTAGAGAGCCTCATCTTTCTCCAGAGGAGCAGCTGGTGGTTTCAAACTGTTGACCTTGTGGTTAGCCTCCCAAGTCATAACCCACTTCTCAGCAAGGGTTCCTCTTCTCTGATGTCAGGCTGAAATAGCCCAGGCCAATAACTATGGAAAAGGCCGGTACCTCCCACAAACTGACAACTAAAACCAGGTTGCAGCTGGAAAAAGTCTTCAGGAGAGGGTTTTAAGAACTTACTGATTGGATGCCAGTGGAAAAACACACTGGCACTGCCAACTGCACTGGGAGTTGGGAAATAATTAAATTCACCTCTGTCTCCTACCATCACAGATACCTAAATGAGAATCTTTCCCCTAACAAAGCAGGTTAATTATGTAACATTCAATAGGCACTGCTGAAATTACACAGTATAATATTTTCTCAAAATCTTTCTTTGGCAAGTGATAATAAACCTGACCTGCCACCCTAGTCTGTAAAATATTTTACTGAGCCCGTCTCACTCTGCGCATTCCAAAAAAAAAAGTTTGAAATCTGCCCTCAAGGTTAACAGCCCAATGCAAACAGGGAAAGAATGGAGCAAGACCAAGCTTGCAAATCTTCCAAACTTTCAAGGAGACAACAGAAAAGAGCACTGTAGGAAGCTATTTGTAGCAACTTTCACATTTGACTCAGCCATCAAATGGATTCAGATCGAAGAGCCCATCAAGAAACAAAACCCACAGCCTTCGAAACTAAAAGCGACTCCACTGGACAGCGTAGAATGGCCCTACACGTTTCAAAAACTTTTACTCTTTACCGGAGTAGAAAGCCTGGTCGTTCACACGTGGAACAGCTGATGGATTCGAACTACTGACCGTGCACTTAGCAGCCCAACGCCTAACCACTAACTACGCCAAGAACCACAGTAAAGCTTAAAATTATGAACATTTCGACCGCTGTGTGTGTGCCGTTTCTGACTAGTGATTCCTTGCAAGTTTAGTCCCCCAAAAGATGTCGAGTGACCCTAAAATCGACGTTTCTTCTTTCAAAGAGCACCCTCCGGAAGCAGATTTTTAGGGTGGATGCAGTCCAGCGGCCCGCCGCCCAGCCAGGGTAGGGAGTGCCCGCCCAGACCTCCGGGGGTAACTAATGCCTCGAGCCGCCGCGATTTCTCGGGGCGCCCGCCTACCTCTCCCCGGCCTCCCCAGCTTCCATTATACACGCCCTCGTTTTCCTCGCGGAGCCCCAGCTCTCTCAGCCACGCGTACTGGGGCTGATTGACCAGCAGGGTGGACATGAAGGCGGCAGGCCTGCTCCAGACTCCAGACAGCTTGCTCCTCCGGGCGGCGTGCAGGCGGACCCAGGC